CAGACCCATTTTACAGTGTGAAATGTATTTGTAGGGGTTTTAAGGCTTCTCTGACCTCAAACATGGCCCTTTCTGATAGACCTGAGTGGTAATACCATCTTCTGGAGAGAAGAGGAGAAGGAGGGAAAATGCCCGGATGTGTCCAAACAGCTAAAAGCACACTTGTCTTCCTTAAACATCCTTTTATTTAACATCATGCCTTGATTTGTCCCCACCTCATTTTGTAGGGCTGGAACAGGTAGAAATGCAAGTTCCTCGTTAAAGGCCACGAGCTGCCCATCAAGCTGAAGGACGTTAGGCTGGTCCCTAGCAGGTCTTCCAGTTCTTCTATTCCTTACAGTTAAATTAGGTGAGCAAGACACTGGTCTAACCTCTCACCAATAACAAGGTTTGGTATTGATAACTTCTCATCTGGGGCTCCAATCACTATTTGACTTCAGAGCTGCCAGCTGTCCCCTCGGGACATTCCTCCCACCAGGCCCTATGTCAGTGTCCCTGCCAGGGACACTCCTGGTGCCACAGGGCGGGAGCCTTCACACAGAAGCCTGTGTGTCCTGGGAAAGGCTGGTCCTTCAAACACACCACCAACGCCTTTTAATTCCATGCGCTCCCTGTGGTCACTGCAGGGCTCTGCCTCACAGTTCTTCCACACAGTGGTTATATTCACCCAGAGATTTTATATACTTGACCCCCAAAAGTCCAGCCGTCACTGAAAATATTTTCCAAGGCTAAAACTGGCACATTTTCTTAGTAGAATTTCTAAATGTAAGAAACAAATTATTAAAGCATCTCCTTCCTCCTTAGGAAGGATTTTCAGATTTTTTTAAACTTAAATTACTAGGAAACATCCTATAGTTTGCACAGCACTCGTCCTCCTACTGGTCCTACAGAAGAGGTGGTGGACAGAGGATAGGAGAGGAGGAGAGCAGGGGCAGCGCAAGCAGTGAAAACTGGGCCCCGCGGCCAACAGATCATTTCAGACCACTTTGTACCGGTCACAGACGCTATGGGATGTCTCATAGCTGTGCTCACACTCTCGTGAAGGATTCGGAAACTGTTCTTCTGGAGACCCCACCTGCACTTCTGTGGTTTTATTGATCGTCGGCTCTACCTCTGGCCTGTCTGGAGGTACATTGCTGTGGAGAAGCTCAGCTCCCCGTGTATTCTGAAGTCTCCTCTCCCCCTTAATTTCTATCCTACCTAGGCGTTAAAAATGCCAGAAGCTGACTGGGCCTCGGAAAGGGGAGATGAGTGCCTGCAATTTGGTTTTATGTAACCAAATGTGTGCATTTAAATATACTCACATTAATGCCCAGGGGTGGGAATAAACAGAATGGTCTTCTCTACTTACTCACAGGACCTTAGAAACTTGGCACCAAAATGGCTATTGGGGACCCTGTGCCCAATCTCAAGGCAACGCCACTCACAAACCCCCCAGGAGGCAGAGACCGCTGCTTCTTTATAGGAGAAATCTCACAGTTCTTTTCCAAGCGCTGTCCCCAAAATTCAATTAATGCCTTCACTATGGGGAAATTCTGTGATCATATAAAATCCTCTTTCTCTCTCTCTCTCTCTCTCTCTCTCTCTTCTCTGCAGTTGCAGGCAGGTGGCTCTGTTACAACCCTCACTAAGCAGATTGTCCTTTTGGATGAAAGAACTAATCCCCTCAAATTTTCCCCAGTAACCACAAGGTTGCAGCATGCAGTTTGCAGTACAGCAAACCTGGGTTTGACTCCTGCTAGGTATCAACTGTGATATTGGGAGAGTTACTTATCTGTGTCCCTATCTCTGTCTACAAAGTGAGAGCTACACCAACCTTGGAAGGTGGTTGCAAATATTAAATGAATGAACACACATAGAATTCTAATACAGTCCCTGGCATGCAGCAGGTGCTCAATAAATGTCCTGGGCGCCTCTCTTGGGAGAGGACTGACAGCTTACATCCCTGGGCTGTGCTCAGTGACAACCAGCCTTCTCCGTCATATTGCTATCAGAACACTTAGGATGACTTCCAGTTCCACGTGAATAGCAGGGTTTTTTTTATGTCCCTTTTGTACTCAGTGTATTTCATTCCCAAAGCAAACAGGAGGAGGAAATGAAGGCTAGAATCATGTTAATGGAGCGCTCCAATTCAGAGCTCTAAGACTTGAGGAACTTAGTTCGCTTGCTCAGCCTGCACTTTGACCTCTAGGACCAAGCATCAGGGTTCCCCTAGAGACAGTGCAGGGTGATGGCAGAGAGGGGGTGCCAAAGTGGGGGATGTCCACTGATGTGAAACCACAGCTGGGATTTCCTCTCTTGTGCATTTACACAGTGAACTCTGTCATGGTATTATATTATCTTCATATTTGCACAATGAGAAATGCCTAGTTTGTAATATGGTGGCTATTCGTCAAATACCAGCAAAGGAAAAGGGATGCCAGCAAGATTCTCCAATGTTTGGATTTAGGAGAGCGTGTGGCCCTCACTGTTAATGAGAAAGCCTCCAGTTACCACCAGCAGAACCCAAAATGCCATTTGGGGAAAAACAACCCTTTCTGCCCATCCCCTCAACACGCACAGCATCGGACATCAGCCCCAAAGTTGACAGTTAACCAGCGCTGGGCCATTTCCATGTCTCTCCTAATGAAAGTTAATCAAACTGCAGAAATGAAAGTAAGATCACATGAAAGAAAACAGAAAGCAAATGCTTGGAGCCCAAGCTCAGGCAAGCCCAGGGAGCGTCTCGGAGAGGACGCTACGACCCTGCGATCCTCCCCCTTGGCCTCCCAGGGGCATGAATCTTGGCAAAATTTACATTATTGTTATATTCACACTGTTCTTTCTAAAGTAAAGATTTCCTTTTAATACATATCTTTTCAAATGTTGCTGGTAAGAGATTTTTCTCTTGAGGGGAAATAATAGCTTTTTCAATCACTAATGTAATAATACCCAGACATTCAGAGGAAACCCATCCCCGTGGCTTACCAGCATGTATGGTTTTAGTATACAGGGGTGGGCAAAAGTAAGCTTACAGTTGTTCATACGGGAAATAATATAATAATTAATAAATATTCATACAAGAATAAACTCTGTGGTTTGCATACTCACAACTGTAAACTTTTGCACACCCTGTATTGTTATAAGATGTTAAGAGAATGCTTTATTGTTACAAAAGGTTTTCTGTGCTTTCCATAATATGAAACAGGCCACATTTTATAAGACAATATATTTTATAAATAGAAAAATTCTTAATATAAATTTTACTATCTACACTAATAAAAGAGAAACATGGTAATTGGCGTACGACCGCTACCCTTTTCATTGGCTAATCAATGAGTATATGCAAATTAACTGTCAGCCAAGATGGCGGCCGGCAGCCAGGCACTGAAGCGAGCAGGGAGGCTTGCTTGCTGCAGACTCCAACGTTCCCCGCCACACTTGCCGGCCTCTCATCTGCAACTCTAAGCAACTATATACTATGTTGCAAATAAGAAGCTAAACAAAACCCCAGAAAAGGGCTTCCATTCAGCCGGGCTCGGACCGCAACATTGTATCGATGTTTTCAGCAGCGAGGCCTCAGAGCTAAAGCTGGCCCAGAAAAAAAAAAAAAAAAA